ATAAAAAATAAAGAGTAAGCTAGCGAAGATTGACTATTCTCCATGTAATAATATCAACACTAGGTTACAATCATAAAAGCTGAAGTACAAACAATTCAAATTATCCATCACCTTACACAACTCCCATGGCACATGCATAAATTTAAATATTTGACTCTACTTCTAGAAGACATATGTATTAAGTGACTCAGAGACTATACACTTGTCATAACTTACTCTTTGCCTCTCATGAGCTATAATTATAGATTCACATTAGGACACCAATCCCTTTTGACACAATATCTTATTTCATACCTAAACTCCAAACGATAAGAATCTCCTTCAACTTCCACCACTAGATATCATCCTTTACATGAGTTTGATATTAGTAGAATTAGGATAGTATGTATGGAATCCCTCTTAATACACCATCCAAAAAATCACATCTCAACAGTGTAATACTCCCTCCCTAAGAGTCAATACATTCACAACACACGTACAAAACTCATATTTTTCTCCTAATGATTCTAACTAATTTAAAACACTCTAAAACCTCATTATTTTTCTCAAACTTTTACCTTACGAGACCCTAACTCGCATAGAAAAAGCAAAAAGAAAACAGGGACTACTTAGAACTAGAGTTCCAATTGGGCCTAGCACCACTAAGTTGCACCCAACACCACCTATGGCACCCTTGTTTGTCACCTAACTTCACAACCTCTAAATATCTTTATAATTAAAGATGACAAATGAACTCGTCGATATAGGTATGGTTCGAACCTATTTTCGTTTTAACGGGGAATCCCCAAATTCAGCAGGTACGAATAGTATAGGTAATAATAGATTTTTTTTAATTGGATATGGGGATGAGTATGTACATACCCACTCCGTCTTTGTTCTCATACTCATGCCAATATATATCCCATTCTTATCTCATTCCCATTTAAATTTCTAAACTATAACCTTATTTATTAAGTAACCCACTTTGGTCGTGTTCTCATACTCGTGCCAATATTTATCCCATTCTTATCTCATTCCCATTTTAATTTCTAAACTATAACCTTAATTTAGCATATATGTCTGTTCTTCCTCTCTTCTAACTTTGTTTAATTAATGTTTACAAAATTTATAGATGTTTTTGCTATAAAATTTTATTTATATTAATTGTAAAATATTTCATGTTATTCTTCTCTACTTTCATCCAATTCTTATTTGGTATTCTAATTTGAAATTTATACTATTATAATTTTTTTCTAGATATTTGACATTGAAAATATGAGAATATATCTTTTTTATGTTGAATATTGGATAATATTACGTTTCCTTTGAGTGAGATTTTTGCTTTTTATAAAAAAACAACTAAATTAATATTGAAACAATAATAAAGAAGGTATTGGGATATACGCGTTAATTGATGAGAATGAGGATGAGGTAAAAATCTTGTACTCGTTGGATATCAAGATGTGAACATGGAATTGAAGATGGATTTTCACCTTGGTGATGGGTTATGGGATAATAAAACTCATCTTTACCGCTGTCTCATTGTCATCCCTGTCTATAATCCATTTTTCGGATAGTGCTCAGCGGTATATAGCTGGCGCCTAACACTCCAAACCCATCAAGCTCTCTAGAATTCATTTTTCATGTGATGCTCGATAATTCTAGGGTTTCGCCCAACACTATTATAGAAATTTCAAAAGTTTAGTATGTATAAATATGGTCAATTGGGTTTATCTAAATTATTTTACAACTTTCTATTATCATATAGACCTATTTCATCTCAAAATGATCTCAAATACACCAATATACCAATTTGAACACACCATACACAATCCACATATTTTACCCAATTACATTTCTTCAAAAAAGTTGCATCTATAGGCTTAAATTAACACAAGAAATCACCTCAACAAAACAACACAAAATAGTCATACAAAAAAAAGTTCAATACCTCACCCATTTTTCACACTCTACTTGTTATCATCACAAATAGAACATATCAATTCGCTCGTACTAACATGGATAAGCAAAAAGACAAAGTTAAAAGCAAAAACCAAATAATTCAATGAGTCTCCATAAAACTAAATTATTCCACAACAACATTCAATATCACAAGTTATTTTCACAATAATTTCATTATTACTTAAATTTAAAACAACAGTATTTTAAAATCCTCGTTTTCCTTACCTTATATAACTTTCATCTAGGCTATAACTTTACAACAAGCCACCCCAACCAAATACCTATAGCAAAGTGTCCAAATAAGACAAAAATTCAGTGTAAGATAAAATGAGTTTATATGATCATTCTTTTCAACTATTCCTACTAAGATTGATTAACACACCATAAAAATCATATAAGAAGGAGTAAATAAAATAAATAGAAACTTAATTTTTCAATCGGTAGAAAATGATCTTTAGCCCCTAAGCTAAAGCGGGGTAAGATTAAAATCTAAAATGATTGAGAAAAGGAGATGAAATCAAAAGATAATGAAGGAGAATGAAATCTCATGAGTGAAAGAGGCGACGAACGTGTGTGACGAACCCCAGTGTGGGTGGTCTGATAATGAACAACCGCGACTAAGGGTGGTTCGACAATGAACAACCGATGGAAAAATGTGTGGGTGTAGTGGTTCTTTGATTGCAGGAATGGAGAAGAAGGAACTGTGTGTGCACATGGGGAAGTGAAAAGGTTTCACCTTTTTTAAGTTTGGACAACTTTTTTACAATGGTTCTTGCATGCAACTTTTGTCATTTTATCCTTCACAGATTTTTAATGATAGATCATATCATCGTCCTTTTCCTCTTTGCAACTCTATAATGACGAATCTTTGCTTAAGCATCATTCAAACTTTTCCTTTAATTACAAAACTGTCACTATGTTTTTTTAGTGCACTAGCTTGTAAAACATCATCAATGAATGACGTTGAAAAGTCTTTTTGTATTAGTGGATATAACGTACCTTAAAATAGAAAATTCTAAATAATATATTCCAATGTGAAAATTTATGGAACCATAAATGGCATTTTCACAACTAACAAGAGAAAAAAATTAAATGGAAAATAAAAATAAAATAAAAAAATAAACTAAAAATATTATTTTTAATTTTAAGAAGCATACTATTAAATTAATAACATAAGTTTTATAATTAAAATTACTATTAAAAACAACAATACAATATAAGAAGGAAGGAAAAATATATAGGTTTAAACCTTTATTTGGTCCTCGTATTTGTGTGTCAATCTCAAGTGGGTCATCTTTTTTTTTCGGTCTCAATCGGGTCCATAAACTTGTAAAAATGAACCAATTAAGCCCTCTCGGTTAAGTTTTCATTAACACCGTGTGCAGATGCCGAGGTGTAATTTTTTTTAGTTGACGTGACAATGTGTATTAAATTGAATGAGTGTTCTATTGTATAATTAACCATTCCACATGGAGAACTATATTTTTTATGTTGGTAGCCCTAACATTTAAAGGGACCTCTGACATCCAAAGATTGTTGCCAATCGCGGTCCAAGGCGTCGCTAGCACCACTGTTCACCGTCGAGGGCATCGTCGACATGGCGTCGGGTCCTCCCTTTTTCTTCTTCTCTTCACGCGTGAGAGAGGAGCTCTCTCATTCCTCCATTAATTGCCTCTTGAGCGGGGCCGACCGCTACGAGCCGTGAGCCACGAGCCAAAGCGCCACCGGTCGCCGCCAAGCTCGCCGTCGGTCACAACAGAACTGTATCGTTTTGAAGCAGTGGAAGAAGAGGTTCGAAAGGAAAGACGAAGCGAGATTTTGGGGATTTTCCCTTTCCTTTTTTTTGCTTGGTGTATTTGCTTGGTCTCCCAACAAGGAATCAACACTTGAGAATCCTGAACTGACCTCATCTTTGCTTCTTCCTAGTTGATCAATTCAATCATACATTCTAATCAAAATTGAGCTGATGGGTACAACCAGCCATTGATAGAAGCTGCAAAACAGAAATACTGCAAGTGCAAAAAGCATATGTACATGGAGATTTCAGAAGCCAAAACTAGTCAAAATTCCCAAAGACCAGCATTAAGTTGCACTCTAAAAAAATCTTGTATTTGTTGTGTTAATTGCAAGTACAATTAATTTGAATTCACAGTTTGTTGTGTTAATTGAAATTATGTTGGGCATATACTGGTTTCTCTAAGTTGTAATTTGAAGAGTTCTGATAATCGACCAATTAGAAACATGGTTTCCAAAACCGGTCTATAGCCTAAGGTTTTTGGATTCACCGGGAACACATTGCTTCTGCAATTTAAAACCTTGATAAGAAGAATATGAGATTAAAGAGGATAAGAAGCTTGCTGATTTCTTATATATAGCTGAGTGTGTTAATGGAACTGATTTGAGAGAGTACCTATTGTCTATAAGCATTTTTGTTGAGAGCAATGAGACCAGCTAAGACCCTTGTGTTCTTCTTGCTATTTCTGCCACTCTTTTCATCATACAAGGCTTCTCCCACTGCATAGACTTAAAAGAGTAATAATCATCACACACTAAAGCTGCAGAAACATAGCACAAACAAAAAAGGTTAAAACATTACTCCGCTGCCACAAGCTACACTGATGCAACAGTACTTACGAGAATTGCTTCCAAGCTGAGAATCGAGAAACGTCACCAGAAAAAAAGACTAATCATGATGCAAATTAAAGAAGGTGAAATAAACTAGAAAATTATCAAATTAGATAATTCACTTCAAACAATTCTAAAGTAGTCGGAACTGATCCTAAATTATACAAAACCATCAAATAATGAAAAAAAAAAACTAAACTTGAAGCATCAACTAAACTGCTACGATGATGATGATTTTACCATGCGTCTTCTCTCTATTGGAAAAAATGCAAAAACAATTGGATAATGTTTAGAACCGCTTGTACCTATAGAAGTTGGAATTTGGGCCAAGACAAGGCATGATTAACAAACCCTTTTTTGTCGTTGAAAGTTGAAATTGTGATGCTCTGTGCAAATTAAATTCCATCAACATGCTAACGCTCACTGCCTCAACCATGGCCGGTGTTGCAGGCATGACTACTGGTGAAGGGGCACCACTTTTGGCTCTTAAACTATCATCTGCTCTTTTGTTTTCTGCAGCCCCCGGGATGCTACTTGCTACCAACAAAATCCAACCCTCACAACTTGCCGAGGAACAAAGAAATGCTTCAAGGCTTTTTACACAGCTTCAAGCATAGATCCAAACCACAATCGCTGTTGGAAATCCTAATGAAAGTGACGTGAGGGGTGTTACAGAGAGGGTTTTGGCGTTGGACAAAGCTTATCGAATGCATGGATTGAGGAAAATTATATTTTACTTAATTGTTATATGCCTCATTTTTATTTCAGAAACTTATATTACAATTAAGTATTGACAGTAAGGTATGAACTAGGTTGATAAATTGATAATAAAATATTACAATCATGGATTGACAAAAGTTTAACTGTCAAATTAAACTTGTGGTTTAGATATTAGACTTGTGTTTATATACAAACAGGAAAAAAAATTGAAACTTGCCTCGTTTCTTGAAGTGGGGGTGGGAAATGTGCGAGCTTTGGTTGGTGGGAAGGATTTGAGGTTGCTTTCGAGGTGGGAAGGGAGGACGGAGTTGGTGATCCTGACACAGTTGATGGTAGAGAGTTGGTCAACACGCATGCATCTTGGGCCAGTGAAGGTGATCCCACCGACAATGCTGCTGAAGGTAGCCGTACCGAGAAGCCTCTCCCCGTGCAGGTGCTGATGACGCCGGAATCCACCGTCGGCGACCGAAATCTACCGTCGTGACCTCATAGAGACGACGATAGTACTTGAAGGAAAGATGAAGACGTTGTAGGATGATGAAGCGATGGACACTGGTCACCCCTCTAGGCTTTTGCAAAGAACGTTCAGAAGAACGCTCCAAATCTCTAATTCCCTTTTCAATTTTGCCATGTCATACTTCTTTAATTTAAATAAAAATTCTACATATTGCAACAATGCATATCAGCATAAACACGTCATCACAGTTAGACGTCGTTAGTGAAAACTTAACGGAGAAGACTTAATTGACTCATTTTTACAAGTTTATGGATCCGATTGAGACCGAAAAAAAAACGATGACCCATTTAAGATTGACACACAAATATGAAGACAAAACTAGGGTTTAAACCAAATATATATGAATAAATAAGTATATATGAAAAAATATATTTTCGCAAGGGAATTACATAAACCATTATTTCATAAGAGAATTAGACGCTACTCCATTTATCTTGATGGCAATTACATAATGCATAAACACATTTTAATTATTTATGTATATACACATATTATGGTTCTATTATTATCTTCCCTCTTTTGTTCCACAAATTCCTCTCATGAACTCCAAGTGTTTATGATGGTGGATGTTGATCCAATCAAGAACAAGCTATTTTCAATATCAATTTGTTAGTTCTTTCCTAAAACCAAAGAAAATTCTCGTTTCTTCTCTTTGTTTCTTTCTTTCTCAAAATTTGAAAATTCAAAGATTTCTCTTCATGGATATACATGGCCAGGGAAACATATTGTTTATCTTGTTCAATCTCAGAGAGCCTATGAAGTTATAAGGTGTTATTGATATTTTTTAACTTTTAGTTTCATATGCATTTCTAGCATCTCTTTTAAAGGACACCTTCTTTCTTTTTCTCACCATGTTTATCCACAGTCATATACCATTACTTGTGTCAATCCTTATACAAGATGAAATGGTTTTGATTTCTAATAATTGTAAAAAGGATCACACATGTATTTGACTTTTATATCTCACTTAATTCGTTTGTTTTTTATATTCCATTATGAAATGAGTATTGTTTCTTCACCAATTTGATGCTTATATACAACTACGTTTTATATAATTTCCTTTTGCTGTATGTGAACAAAAAATTATAACACATTTTTAATTAATTCATAATGTTTTTTTTATAATTATGTATTTTGTTCAATTTATTTTGAAAAAATAGCTACTTATTTCTAAAACTTTCTATTAGAACTTTTGGTTAAAAATATTAAAATAATTTTTCATTCAAAATAATTTGTCATGAAATATAGCCGATAATGAGAGAAAATAAACCTGAAATTATATTTAATATGACATGAAATAAACCTATCATAACTAATTTAATTTTTAGCATTTGTGTTTGTAGAAATTCCTCTTAAAGGGTGTCATTGCATTTGTTCCTCAATCGCCTACCCAAAGGCCTCATTTACCTAATTAATGTAAGAGTTATATATCTTGTTCTTTAATTTAGGCATTATTTTTTAACCAAAAAATTATTAATGGAAATTAAATTATATCTTGAATTCCAAATGCAGATTCTCGAGATGAATCAGGCTTATGCAAATTCATCAAATAATTTAGAAAGTCATGTCCACAAAGCAAATCAATATACTACTAATCATGCTTTCATGAGTGACTACAAAACCACTACTAAGCACACCACTCCAAGTGCAAGAATGTCTTCAAACGACAACCCTTCAACAAGATCACCAAGAGCAATAGCAGAAGCTGCAAGAAATTTTAATGTACCTACAAAAAAAAGCATTCTAGGTGACCATAGAAGTGGCAGTAGTTCTCGTAGTGATAGTTTGGAGAGCATTTGCAGTGCACATATTAAGCCTCATACTGGAGGTGATGTGAGGTGGGATGCAATTAACATGGTTTCTAAGGGTAATGGTCTTGATCTCAGTCATTTCAAGCTTCTAAAGCGTGTTGGATATGGTGATATTGGAAGTGTGTACCTTGTAGAACTTAAAGGAACCAAAGCATTCTTTGCCATGAAAGTAATGGATAAGGCAGCACTTGCTAGTAGAAACAAGCTTTTGAGGGCACAGACAGAAAGAGAGATTCTTGGACTTCTTGATCACCCTTTTCTGCCAACTTTATATTCTTATTTTGAGACTGATAAATACTATTGTCTGGTCATGGAGTTTTGTAGCAGTGGTAGTTTGCATTCTCTTCGAATGAAACAACCTAACAAGCATTTCACTGAAGAAGCTACACGGTTAGTTGCTTAAACACATATACATGGCACTTGGATTCCACCAAAGTGAATTCTACAATACCTACAAGACATGATTATATGTTAATATGTTTAATATAAGTTGTTAAACATGGTAGGTTAATAAATATGAAATAAAGTTAAATATGTTTGTAGCTTCTAAACTTTGAACGTGGAATTAAAATTCTTCTTTGTCCCAAACTTTGATAAAATTTAGTCTTCAAACTCTAAAACTGAATGGATATAATTATCTTAATCCAACTACATTAATTTTTTCTGTGTTAAATAGTGTTTCAGGCTAACAATTGAGTTGGAATGTATCGACCAGTATACACAACTCAAATACTAACTTGAAATACCGTTTGTCAATTGGGTTAGAAAAACTACATCTATTCATGTTTAAAGTTTGGATACCAAATTATATCAAGTTTTGAAATATAAATGAATTTCAATTTTATATAAATTTAAATTTCATGTCAAAGTTTAGGATTCAAAACACATTTAACCTTAATAACATGTCGGAGTTTGTGCAATTTACTTATTTCTACCTAATATCCTTTTAACTTAAGGATGAAATAGTGTAACACTAGTTAAAGCTTTTTTAGTCAACCTTTTTGGGCTGTGTTTTGTTTAATGAATTCTTTGTCATTTTGTATTTCTACACACACTTCTTATAACAATTAAAGAATATAGTAACTGCATAACAATTATGTTGCTTCAAAAGAAAGGAAAGTTATACACATGAGTGAATCTTGTCCTTATGTTATATGTTCTATTTCACAGCACAATATAATTACAATTGTTTATCCTTACATTTGTGCAACTGAATTGAACTTATTGATAATCTTTGTTTATCTACGCAAGAGAAAGAAACATGTCAAATCTCTTACCACCTAAATTGTGCACTAATAAAAAAATCTGACATAAACTTTGTAACAAATTTAAGAATTCAATGTCTTATTGCGACAGGTTTTATTGTTCAGAAATTTTGTTAGCCTTGGAATACTTGCACATGTTAGGCATTGTGTATAGAGACTTAAAACCAGAAAATGTTCTAGTTCGAGATAAAGGTCACATAATGTTATCAGATTTTGACTTATCTCTTCGGTGCTCTGTGAATCCTACACTAGTGAAGTCCTCATCTACACATGAAAGTAGTAATGGTCCTTCTGGAGGCATTCTAAGTCATGATCAAACAATACATGGTTGCATGCAGCACTCAAGTTTCTTTCCACGGATTTTGCCTTCAAAAAAGAATCGCAAGACAAAGTCTGATTTTGGCCTTGTGGTTGGAGGATGCCTCCCTGAACTAATGGCTGAGCCTACAAATGTGAGGTCAATGTCCTTTGTAGGGACACATGAGTATCTTGCACCAGAGATTATTCGTGGTGAAGGACATGGTAGTGCAGTGGATTGGTGGACCTTTGGAATCTTCTTGTATGAGCTTTTGCATGGGATAACACCCTTTAAAGGTGCTGGAAACAAAGCTACCCTTTTCAATGTTGTAGGACAGCCCTTAAGGTTTCCAGAAAAACCAGTTGTTAGCAAAGTTGCAAGAGACCTTATAGAAGGGTTGTTGGTGAAAGAGCCTAAAAAAAGATTTGCTTACTACAGAGGTGCCACAGAAATAAAGCAACATCCTTTCTTCCATGGAGTGAATTGGGCTCTTGTTAGAAGTGCTACACCTCCTATTATACCAGAATCTTTTGATTTTTCTAAGTACGATAGAAAAACAGATGTTCCACCAATGGATAAGAAGGTTACAGATATTATTGCAAGTGATAAAAGCAATCATACACAACCAGATTCATCTTATGAAAATTTTGAGTACTTTTAAAAGTATATATGTGATCCTTCGTTTGTACAAAAATGTACATTATATCTCCAAAACAAATTTTAGAAGATATCTATGAAAGTTAAATGTTGTACACAAACATGTAAATTTTAGTAAAAGATTTATTTTTCTCCTTTCCAACTTCTTTTATACACTTTCTTCTTTATACTATTTTAGCATTCCAGTATAGCTCATTTGAGAAAATTACATATAGGTTATCCATTTCTAGGTGTAGAGTCAAGAACAACGTTTAAGGTCCAGAAGATTGTCTAAAGGGTCCAAAAGTTGTCTTTTAGTCCAAGTCTTCTTGACACTTCGATGTTAAAGTCAAATCAACGTTTTATAATTCAAATATTAATGGTGCAGTAAATACAATCACCTACTTCCTTACTTCAAATTTGTATTTATAGATTTTGGAGTGGGCTTTTGATTAACAACGATCTAATTACAATCCAATTATTAATAATCATAATTTACCATAAGTTGTTCAAGGTTAGAATTAATCGTCTTGACAGATGATTGATCGATCAGGCTCCACGACTGTCTGGTCCTAATGGTAATTTGTTCAAATATCTTACTAAGATTGATAGTCCAATCTATAGATAGTCATACAATTTGGCACTCCCCAATCTAAAATACAAGGAAGGCACGCAATACCTATGAATGATTTTGTGAAAGGCTCAAGGACTGTTTAAGAACCTTGTCAAACTAACTATGATTTATTCTCCAATAAGATATCAACGAAAGCTTTTTCAAATTGTTATTAAGTCCTTGTAATTATTAATAACTAAGATAAATAAATGATGTGTATATTACCTCTCTTTATGAAGCTAGTAAGATGGGCACTAAAACCTCTTTAGAATAGAAGGCACGAAAGCAACTCTAAATTCATATTCTAGATCCATGTATCCTAATTTAGTGGAGAATTATCAAAGAAAAAAAAGGGAATTTAAATATAAAATTCAAACATAGACCTATATCAAAGGTTAGGATTAACTTCATGTTTTTCATGTAATATGATGTTATAAAATAATAATAATTGCAAAAGAAACATTAATTTTAAACATTGACTAACAATTTTTATTTTTTCATTAACGTTCATAAGTATACAATTTTTTTCTCTTATTAAAGTTTATAAGTGTTAATGGCCAGTTTTTATTATTCATTATTATGACAACAATTTTTGACCAAGTTTATGCTCTATAAATAGAGCATTTCTTGCATTCCAAAAAACACACCAAATGAAGCATTATCTTCTCTTCTCAAAAGGAAACTTTATTCCTCAAGCTATCTTCTTAGTTTTTCTTCCTTTCTCTTCTTATCCTCTTTATATCTTGAGTTTATTCTTTTACTCTCTTTAGAGTTTCTTGCTAGTTTTGAGATCCTCAAAAATTTCTGAGAAGTTCCTATTGTATCTTGAGGGACTTCCACAATATAGCGTGGAAAAGTCCTTAAGGATAGTGATTTACACGCCTCGGAAAATTTTGTTCATGATTTTGTCAACTTTTGTACAACAATCTTAAGGACTTATGGTTGACATCAACAACCCGCTTCTAGACGTATCAAAAGTCAAGGTCTTCTCTAGACAAAACTTTTAGCGTTGGCAAGAACAAGTGTCTACCCTTTTAGGCATTTGCTCAAGAAAAACCTCCTCCTAAAAGGTACGAACAAAAACCTGATCACAAAAGGAAAAATAATTTTCAAAAATCTAGTCCCAATGGATCTAACTTCACCTTTAAAAAGAAAGGACATTACTTTGTATGTGAAAAGTTAGGCCATCATGCAACACAATGTAGGTATAGAGTAAGAAACGATAATCCTCCTAGGGCGAATATAGCCGAAGGATATGACACTATTGTTGCAGTCATTTCTCAAGTAAATCTGATGACCAATATGAGCAAGTGGGTGGTAGACTTTGGGACAACCAGACATATTTGTGCAAACAAAAGTCTTTTTACCTCTTACACTAGTGTAAGAGATGGAGAAGAACATGTGTACTTCGCTGATTCCAAACAACTCTTGTCCTAGGAAAATGAAAGGTTATTCTTAAAATCACATATGAGAAGACTCTGGCCTTGAGTGATGTTCTGCATGTGCTCTCTATTAGAGTTAATTTAATCTTTGTTGCACTTTTGGGAAAAGTGGGAGTTAAAGTGTCATTCAAATATGACAAGATTGTTATAACAAAACATAATGTTTTTGTGGGAAAAGGATATTGTGATCAAGGACTCTTGATACTAAATGTTTCTGAAATTATTAGTGAACCAAGTTCTTCTGCTTATATTGTTGACTTGTATGATATATGGCATGCTAGATTAGAACATGTGAATTCCTTATATGTTTTGAAATTAGAGTGAATATGATTAATTAATATGCATGATAAATAGAGTAGTAAATGAGATATGTGTAGAATTGACAAAGAAAACATGTTATCCTATAGAACATCAAATTGAATTGTTAGAGTTAATTCATACTGATCTAGCTGATTTAAAACAAACCATGTTTAGAGGAGGTAAAAATTATTTTGTAACTTTTATAGATAATTATTCTAAATACACCAATCAAACATAAAGATGAAGTCTTTGATGTGTTTCTAACCTATAAAGCAAAATAGAAAATCAATTAAATAAGAAAATTAAGAGGATTAAATCAGATAGAGGTGGTGAATATGTATTGCTTAATGACTTTTGTGGTAAAGAAGGTATTATCCAGGAAGTGACCCCATCATATTCACCTAAGTCTAATGGAGTAGCTGAGAGAAAGAATAGAACTCTTAAGGAGATGATAAATGTTACGCTTATTAGTTATGGTTCACCTAATAACCTTTGAGGAGAATCCTTGCTCACTACATGTTTTTTACAAAATAGAATACATCATAGGAAAACTGGTAAAACTCCCTATTAGTTGTAGAGAGGTTATCAACCTAAACTTAAATATATAAGAGTGTGGGGGTGCCTAGCTAAGGTAATGTTACCAAGTCCTAAGGAAAGGAAAATATGCTTTTAAAACCTCTTATTGCATATTCTTAGGCTAAGCAGAACATTGTGATGACTATAGGTTTCTATTTCTTAAAAGTGATGTGATTGAAAGTAACATTATAATGGAGACAAAAAAATGCTGAATTTTTTGAACATGTTTTTCCTTTAAAGGTTAGTGAGACATCTCAACCTGTAGATGATAATAATAATTTGTATGAGGATTTAAGAAGAAGTAAAAGACAAAGGAAGGAAACATCCTTTGGTAATGATTTTTATGCTTATCTAGTTGATAATGATTCAACTAGCTTTATAGAACCTATTAGTGCTCCTAATGTTAAACAGTGAGATAAAGCCATTAGAACTAAAATTGAATCTGTTAGAAATGGGAGACCTTATATCCCAAGGTATGGTCATTTGGCAATCACTAGTGACTTCATAGAGCAAGTGAAGGTTGAGCAGTCAATGGATCAAGAGTTGCAGCAAAAGATCAGGCTATTGGGCACCGATCAAGCCAGGGAGTTCGTTCTAACTAAAGATGGCATTCTTCGATTTAAGAACAGGTTGTGTATACCTGCAAAGACTGAGTTGAAACGTTTAATTTTGGAAGAAGGTCATAAAAGTCGTCTTAGAAGACATCCAGGTATGACTAAGATGTATAAGGACCTGAAGGAGTCATTTTGGTGGAATGGTATGAACAGAGATGTGGCAGAGTTTGTAGCAGCCTGCTTGGTGTGTCAAAACGCAAAAGTGGAGCATAAAAAACCAGGAGGGATGTTACGACAATTAGACATTCCTCAATGGAAGTGGGACAATATCTCGATGGACTTTGTAACACATTTACCAAAATCATCAAAAGGTCACGATTCTATCTAGGTTATCGTTGATAGACTAACCAAGAGTGCTCACTTTTTATCCATTAATCAACATATGTCACTAGAAAAGATGATGGAGTTATACATTGGGAAAGTAGTGAGGTTGCATGGTATACCTACAAGCATTGTGTCAGACAGAGATCCAAGGTTTACTTCAAGGTTTTGGCAGACGGTACAAAATGATCTGGGAACACAGTTGAGGATGAGTTCAACTTATCACCCTCAAACTGACGGTCAAACAGAAAGAACTATTAAGTCTTTGGAGGATTTGCTAAGATTTTGTGTATTGGATCATCTCGAAAGTTGGAATGAGATACTGCCATTAGTAGAATTTACTTACAACAACAGTTATCATTCCAGTATTGGTATGCCACCATATGAAGCTTTATATGGAAGAAGATGTAGAAAACCGTTATGTTGGGTTAAAGATGGGGAATCACTAATAGTAGGACCAGAGTTATTACAATGCACCACAGAAAGGATAAAATTAATCCAAGATTGGATGAAAGCAACTCAAAGTAGACAAAAGTCATATGCCAAAAAAAGGAGAAGACCGTTAGAATTTGAGGTAGGAGATCATGTATTCTTACGAGTAACAACAACTACAGGAGTCGGGAGAGCTATCAAGATGAGGAAGCTAACACCAAAATTTCTTGGAACATATCAAATTCTCAAAAAGATTAGAACAGTGGCTTATGAAATAGCATTACCGCCTCGATTGGCAAATTTGCATAACGTTTTTCATGTATCCCAACTGAGGAAGTATATTCCAGATTCAAAGCATGTGTTGGAAGTTGATGAAATTTAGGTCAAGGAGAACTTAACAATGGAGGTTGGACTAGTACGAATACTAGATGTTCAAATGAAAAAGCTAACAGGAAAGGATATTCGCACGGTAAAGGTACTTTGGAATAAAGACACACAGGAAATGACTTGGGAATTAGAGGAATTTATGATAAAGGAATATCCATATATCTTTTGTTAAAATAGCTAATTTTCGAGGGCGAAAATTTTTGTTATTGGGGAGATTGTAAAATCCCTGAAAATAGTTGTAATTAAGATACTATATTTTTTGAAATAAATAAAAATAATTTTATGTATAATGCTACAGTAAAATACGTATAGTGCTACAGTGAAATATGTATAGTGCTACAGTAAGGATAACTCGTGAATCATTTGTTGCTACAGTACTGCTATAGGAAAAATGTAGTACAAGCTATAATAGTGCTATAGTGAATTATAGTACAACTACATTACTGCTACAATAAAATGTAGTACAACTACAATACTGCTAGAGTATTGCTACAGTAACACTAACTTCAACTATAAATAGGGGTGAGAAATGAAGTTTTGGGGGAAGGAGAGTGAAATTGAGACAGACTTTTGTCAAAAATAAGGAGATATTAGTTGTGACTAGAATCTGAGTTGTAGAAAAGGTAGCAAGAGCTTCTAAAGAGGTGTTCTTCATCCAGGAAGGAGCGAGAATCAGGTAAGGGGAGCTAACCTTAAGTCTTGTTTTTTTTGTATGATCTGAAATCTTGAATCTTTTTAGAATTTTGATTCCCTTTATGGATTTAAAATGATATTATGCTTCTATTGCATGTTTCTAGAAGGATAAGAAGTTGTGTAACCGACTTTGCTAGATTCAACTTCTTGTTTCCCCATAACTTTCATTGTGTTTCTTTTTCTCTTACATTTTTTTGGAAGGATAAGAAGTTGTCTAACAGGCTTTGCCAGATTCAACTTCTTGTTTCCCTAGAACTTTAATTGCTTTCTTTTTCTCTTACATTTTCTGGAAGGATAAGAAGTTGTCTAACCGGCTTTGCCAGATTCAACTTCTTGCTTCCCCAGAACTTTTATTGTGTTTCTTTTTCTCTTGCATTTTCTAGAAGGATAAGAAGTTGTCTAACCGACTTTGCGAGATTCAACTTCTCGTTTCCCCAGAACTTTTATTGTGTTTCTTTTTCTCTTGAATTTTTCTAGAAGGATAAGAAGTTGTCTAATCGGCTTTGTCATATTCGACTTCTAGTTTCCCCAAAACTTTTATTGTGTTTCTTTTTCTCTTGCATTTTTCTGGAAGGATAAGAAGATGTCTAACCGGCTATGCTAGATTCAACTTCTTAGTTTCCTAGAACGTTTATATCGTGATATTTTATTATTGTTAATTTATTTTGTGATATATTCATTTTGTATGGAATATGTGATGAATACATTTTATTATGTTGAATAAGTAAACTATAAAATTGTTGGAGTAAATATTCAATCAAATTGTGAAGTTATAAATTTTGATCATGTTTTTCCATTTTTCGAAGCTATCTTGGTAAAACTCTAATTGCTAACTTAGTCTACCATTAGATCAATCTGGAAATTTAATATATAGTTTATAAGACATAGAAATTAACTTTGACTGTCAGGATCTTTAATTTGAGAATATTAGAGGAGATAATATTATAATTTTGGGTAGAATGACCATCACTTTATTACTATCTCTAACTTATATTAGAAAAATCTAAATTCCCCTTCTTTTGCCAATAGATTAAGTTGGAAATTTTAATAAATGATTCCAGAAATATATTACTATATTTTGACCACTCGGATTTGTAACTAGATGTTTGTACTTGGAGGAATTAATTCTGAAATTTTGATAAAGTCGACAACCCAATTGAATAATGTTTTCGAATTGTATAAATCTATTTCTCTACCTAGTTAACTGTTAGATTAACCTAAAATTTAGATATGTAGTTGCTAAGACATGTTGATGTATTTTGACTGTTCCATTTTTTTAAAAAACTAAGTGGTGTTTATTAAGATCTCAATTTTATGTTCCTGAATTATGGATGCAAAATTTCAAATTTCAACTTTATTAATGGTTAGATCAAACTGAAATTTTTATCCAAGATTATAGTAAACTATGATTCAATTTATTAGTTTAGATCCTGAATGTGAAACTTGTACTAAGAAAATTTTTTATGTAACGTCATAAAAATAAAAAAAAATAAAAAATTTGGTCGATCTATAACCTTTGATTGGTGAAATTATGTTGAGTTTGTACTAGTTACGGAAAAGATGAGATTATAAGAAGAGTATGATATATTGCAATATGTTAATTTTTTTTTTGGATATTGATACGAAAATGGGTTCTTATCAATTTATGATTAGAGAACGAACATGATTAAGTTAGGTGGATGAGAAGATATGATTTGTTGATGTTAGGAAATGTTGGGGTGAATATAATAAATTATTAATTATGAAATGATGTTTACTACTGGGAGTAGTATATTTGGTTGATACCATGACACCTTGATATGAGAAGAGTAACACATAAGTCTTATAGAAGCAGGCAGAGAGGTCTGACCATAAGGCTTCGGAAAGTAAAACATAGTATACGAGTAAAGCTTAAGGAAGCAGGCAGAGAGCGGTCTGATCATAAGGCTTCGTGATTAAGCATAGTATACTTGTAAGGTTTATGAAAATGAGAAGGATGATTTTGAAGAAGTTAAGGAAAAATGAATTAATGACATTGGGGTAATTGTTTTAATACATGATTAAATTATATATTATAAATAAGTTTAATGATTGTATGTTATGGTTAGGTTACTCTTATTTGTTTGTGCTATGATCGTATAACTCATGTTATACGTGAGCAGATAATGTTGCAGATGCGGTTGAAAAAGCTTAGAGATGATGAGAGACATGTTGGGAAAAACTTTCAGGGATTTTTGTAAAAAGAATAATTTTGTATTGGAAAAATATGTTGTGTAAGATTTGTAAGTTTAATTTCGAATTTATGTTAAGTGGTGAAGACTATATTGTTTAAAGTTTGTAAGTTTGGAACCGTTGTCCTTTGGTTGAATTGAAATAAAGTTTGGTTGTTTATATAAGATATTAAATTAATTTAGTTTTTACTACTAGTAATACCCTTAAATCATTTGGGTGTTACAGATTACACAAATATCTTAATCGATTATAATGCATCAAGATTCATAAAATTCTATAAATACACGTCATGTGCTCTATTTCAAAACAATTTAATAGAAATCAATTTCATAACTAATTGTTTCATTGAGTTTTGATTACAGGAGCATCCAAGAAGTGTCTTAAAGAATCAAGGATCAAATTGGGGTTTCTTACACATCAAGATTCAATAAGGAAAGTGGGTTAAAACAGTTCTAACTTAATCTACACTGGTAGGGTGTGTTTTGAAGATCATATTCTTCTTATACAATATATGTATTGTGTTCCTATGCTGGTGTGCCAGGGGAGAGAGTTGTGAGTGTTCTTTGTGAGAGTTGTGATTGTTCTTTGTTTGGTAACAGTGAGGGTGTTCACCTCTTGTTTTGCTATAGTGATTTTGAGTGTAGGGAGAAGTACATTGAGAAGGGATATCTATGTATTCTTGTAAACTCTATCATTATAGTGGAATCCCTTCAACTAAGGTTGTTGAAAAAAGACTAGATGTAGGCTTGGCCGAACCAGTATAAATTTCTTGTGTTATTCTTTCTCTATCCTTTCTATTTTATTGTTGATTCATCATTATGATTTGAAGAAAACTAGAGATTTTGCAAAGCTTTTGAAAAGATCAAGTTTTAAAGCAAAATCCAATTCACCCCCTCTTGGTTGAGATATAAGACATCTTTGTTCTAACACAAGTAAACCTAACTCTACTATGGGAAAATGTTCTACATGTTCCTAAATTGTCCATAAATTTTATATTCATTCAAAAACTTAGCAATGACCTCTCTTGTAATGTCATTTTTTAGAATAATTCTTATATATTGTAAAAAAGGAAATCGAGAAGGATGATTGGAAAAGATAGAGAGTGGAATGACATTTACTATTTGAGAGTTTTGAACCAACATATTATAAGTCACTCTTTGATGGTTAAGCCCTCAATACACAACCAGGAAAAAAAATTAGTTTTATCATTGTCGTCTTGCACATCCCTCGTTTTGTGTTATAAAAATTTTGCTTCCTTCTTTGTTTAAGCATTTGAATTTGAATATGCATTATCTTCATTGTGAGGTCTATGAAGTGGAAAAACATAAAAATGTTTCATTTCCTTATGCTTGCAATAAAATAAGTTTTTGTTGTTAAATTATATTAATATTTAACATTGGTTCATGTAATTTAAAGTATAACTTTGATGTACAGATTCTAATGTGATGATTATTATAATATAAGGTATTAAAGTTATAGGGATTATTTTAGAGTTATTAAAATTAATACCTCTCTTCTCATTTCAAAAAAGGACATTTTGGTATTTTATTAAAGTTGATTAAATATCATAAAAGAGGGAAAAAAGTTTTTCTGTGGTTGACGTTAAGTTTCTGGAAAGAAGAGGAGAGAAGTAACGTTCTCAGGAAAAGAAAGGAAACTGTGACTTTGACAGAGAAAAACGTCCTTTGAAATTTCTATATCATCAAGAAAGCATTAAAGAGGAGTAAGAGAAGGGAGAACATTGACAGGAAGGAATTATACCATGGATCCAGGGAGAATAGTGAGTATCATGAAAATTCAAGATCCTATGTGTGTTTTTCATTCAATTAAAAATTAAAGAATTGCTTACAAGTGGTATCAGAGCCAGGTTTTGAGTTTTATGATTCTCCATGAATGGTAATTTTCTGAATTTTTAAAACCCTAATTTTTGAATTATGAAATTTACGGATTTTATTTTTCAGATGTTTAATTATTTTATTGGCATGAAAGAAAATTAGAATGTGAATCTCAAAGCTGCAAATTTTTTAAATTTTGATTGTTGCGTACGTCACAGTAAAGCAAATTTTTTTTCTGTTGCATGATTGCTTTTTGAATTCACTATAACGTGAATTTCATTCATCTGGAAGCAGCAAGTTATTTTTCTTTTATTATTTGATTATCACATTAATGTGACTTTGATCTCTGCATAACATTAAAGTTCATTAAAGTTGTTTTATGCCAAAATTGATATCTCGTGCGCAGTAACCAAATTAAATCCTGCATGAAAGAAAATTCAATCCCTTGAATTTAACCCTGAAGCCGCATATAAATCTTTTAATTTGGTTGTTACCATAAAGCAACTTTGTTGCGGTACTGTTCTCACACAGTAAAGTATTTTATTATTGTGCTTATGTTAAATTTTTAACATTGTTGTGCATTGAATTGAATGGAAATTAAATGTGAATTAAAAGTTTGAAGGTTTCAAATGCTTTTAACTTTTGACATGTATGGTATAATTTTTGTTTTATGAATTATATGTAATTGTTTATTAATCTTGGATGAAGGAAATTCAATTAAGTTGAATTTCAGATGAGTTATAATTCTAATCAAAATTAAAAGGTTTAGCAATTCCGCTGTTCTTTTAAATTGCTCATGTTATTGTGAAAATTATTCATAATATAAAGGATGTTAGATTATGAATATATATATATATATATATATATATATATATATA